GTGTCCCAGAGGGCACCATAAAACCAGCAGCTGGCCTCACAGCACCACCTAGTGCCCCAGAGGGCAGTGTCAATCTGAAACCAGGTCCCATAATGCTACCCAGTGTCCTGGAGGGAGCTGTCAAACTGACAATTCCCACAGCACCACCTTGTGTCCTGAAGGGCATCAACAATTTGGTACATGGCTCCACAGCACCACTAAATGTCCTGGAGATCACCTACAAGCCAGAACCTGGCCCCACAGTGCCACCCAGTATCCTAGAAAGTACAAGCAAGCCACTACCAGACTTGTCTAGTGCATAACCCTGCAGCACCAGAGATTTTCGTTGAGCTGGCATTTGATTACACAACACTGCACACAGCAGTGCCACCTCCTAGGTCTTCCTTCTCAGTTTGGGACCAGACCTCACCTATGGTTCAACCCTTGTGGCTTAAGAGCCTGAGACAGATTTTTGGACACAACCTTTGTGCCAGAACAGGCTAGTACCTAAGGCCTTTTTTCCACTGTGGAGCCAAATGGTCCCCAGGGCCGTACAGTGCCATTCTTATGACACCAGTTGCAGTTGCAGTTTCAATCTGCTGTACTGCCAGGAAATACAGGAGGAAACTACACAAAAGTGTGGCTAACTAATAGCTAACTCCTAATACCTACACACAGACACTTAGAAATGGTTAGATTAGACCTTTGACATTTTTTGAGTGGTGGATTTAAAAATGTGTGCTGCTTCCATTTATTTGGCATTTGTGCTAGTGATCTAAACTCATTTGATTGTTTTCAGATTTGAAATAATGTACAATGTGGTGACACAATACTGGCATAAATATAGAACCAATCAGCAAATGCCTACGTCATTACATCGTCTCACAGAACAGTTCTGTAGCCCTGAACACAGTTAGTTAATTATGTCAAGAAAACCACACTAAGCACAGTTTTTAAGCATTCAATGTCAAATCATGTCTGTATGGAAATGCCACTGGAATGGTTACCCTTCATGCTCAGAACCATTTGGCCCTGCAGTTGAAAAGAGGCTTGACTTTAATATGGATTTCTTATGTATATAAATAAATTTCTGCTTTTTATTCTTGTGCTGGCCTTGTGCGTGTGTTATATGATGATAAGGTAGGTATCTTTACTGAAATCTATTCCGTGGATCCTGGCTAAATTAAACAACATGGACCTTGAAGCTTAAGGCAAGCACTTGGATAGGGCCTTTGAGCTCTCTTAAGCAAACTGTTTTCCAAGAGAAGTTGTTAATAGGTCTATCGGGCCGATACCTGGTATAAAATGTGCTTGAATGGTGTTACAAATCATTTGCATGATTGTGATGAGACCATTTGGGAGAAGAGTACTTTCAGTATATTCAGAAAATATAAATATACAGGACTCTAAAGGATTGTGACACAAAATATATACAGATTCATTTTTTTAATTGATTTTTTTTAATGAAATGTTACAGTGGAAGATGTCATAAGAGAGGTCAGAGAATATTTAGGCCAATCCATAGTTGCCAAGCTGATTTTAGTCCTAAAATGAGATGCCAGGGAAGGATAATGGAGTTTTTATCAACAAAAGCTAAATTATTAATGTTGCAAACAATACAAAGCTGTTATAAGACATCTATCTATAAACATACACCAATCAGGCATAACGTTATGACCACCTTGTTTCTAAGCTCACTGTCCATTTTATCAGCTCCACTTACTATATAGGTGCACTTTGTAGTTCTACAATTACAGTCTGTAGTCCATCTGTTTCTCTACATACTTTGTTAGCCCTCTTTTACCCTGTTCTTCAGTGGTCAGGACCCCCATGGACCCTCACAGAGCAGGTACTATTTGGGTGGTGGATCATTCTCAGCACTGCAGTAACACTGACGTGGTGGTGGTGTGTTAGTGTGTGTTGTGCTGGTACGAGTGGATCAGACACAGCAGTGCTGCTGGGGTTTTTAAACACTGTGTCCACTCACTGTCCACTCTATTAGACACTCCTACCTTGTCGGTCCACCTTGTAGATATAAAGTCCGAGACGATAGTTCATCTGCTGCTGCACAGTTTGTGTTGGTCATCCTCTAGTCCTTCATCAGTGGTCACAGGACGCTGCCCTCAGGACGCTGTTGGCTGGATATTTTTGGTTGATGGACTATTCTCAGTCCAGCAGCGACACTGAGGTGTTTAAAAACTCCAGCAGCACTGCTGTGTATGATCCACTCAGACCAGCGCAACACACACTAACACACCACCACCACCACATCAGTGTTACTGCAGTGCTGAGTAGCACTCAACAGCTTTTGGAAGGTTGCTGTTGTGATATACATAATTTTCATTTAATGAGAAAAGTAGTTTTCAGAGAAACTAAAAGCTATTAATAATATAATAAAACTAAATGACTAGGCTTATCACTTTACTGTGCAGCACCAAAGAACATATATTGACTTTATTAATCAGCTTACAGATGAAGTTTACCTTTATAGTTCTGTCTTACACGCCTCTGTATTCCCCTGATGTTGATACATTATAAAACAGCAGTGATCTGAACAAATCCAGCAGTTGAGCTCTTCTCTGTAACAGCTCTTTTCAGTGGCTAAAGAAATGTAAGAGATCTGGTATTGGACTGCAAACTTGATACCAACCTGTTTATAATAAGGTATAAACATACAGATTTCAACCTTTTAACGAACACTAGCTGAACTTTGCCCCTAGGTTAGTGTTTCTAACGTATCAACAACCCAAAGTTAAGGGCCTTTTGGCTCCAGCAAGTCTGGAGTTGAGAGGTAAATCTGTGGGCTTAACACCCCCCCAACCCCAGACTCAGTCAGATTTACAGCTGAAACAGGAACCAGCACCCCTCTCCCTTGACCTAGAGGGCAACAGGACGACGACTCCCTGGGATATTGGCCATATGGCCCTCCAAAGTCCTGTGGACAACTTTATCTTAAATAACAGAAAGTACATTTCTAAGGTATATGTCCACTCCAAACTGCAACCATTCGTCAGAACTCTTTTTAACTAAACTAGACATACCAAAAACTGAACTCGTACGACTTTGGGTGGCAAAATTCCAAATTTCTGAATTCCCTAGGGATCTCAAGCATGGACCCACAGCACCCCCAAGGGGTGAAACCACCAAATACCACATCACCACCGTAAGGACTTGTGCTTATAAGGAACACGAGAAACTTCTTGCTTTGTCTGCTTGATTATCAACATTTATATAATCTGTAAGCAGTACTACTTGTTGTATTAATCTTGTTGTTGGGTAGTACCTAAATATTACCTGTATCTTTTTCTACTATTAAGTGCTAGAAATATGTAGAGTATAACTTTGATAACAGACAGAGACAACCACTTCATTGTAATGAATTTAGACCATTTACGAATATGTATCCTGAATGTGGTTTTCTTTTCTTTCTTTTGTTCCTTTTCTTTCGCTGTTGATTTTATTTCTCCATGCATTGGTTCATATTCAGATATTATAGGCAAATATTACCTGAGTTCTTTAACATGTGTTGTGTATCAGGTAACAAGGGTTAAACTCTCTCTTATAAATATACCTGAATATTCTAGTTGTTCATTCCTTGATTTTGTAATTTAAACCAATTTGATGATATAAGAATGTTTCTTTTTCTTTGTTTAAAACTAACTGAAACAAAGAAGGCAGTGATTCTGGGGAAGGCGTTCCTAAGATTATGCACAACCAATCAGAGTTGGAAACAATGAACAGCTAGTTAACCGTTAGGTGAGGAGAACCTATCAGCACTCTGGCTCCACCTGCAAAGGGTAGGGCCTCCAGCCGAGCAAAACCAGAGTGCACCGCAAATTTGGTTGCAGATTCCTGCGTTCAGAACAAAGAATAGCTAAGTTTCTAAGTTTGTGCCGGCCTTGGTCAGAAAGACAGGTCAGAAGTATTAGAACGCTAAATTTTCAGATCTGAAACATTTGTTTGTTTTGTAACTTGCCTGTTCGTCTACACACCTTAAGTTTAAACCACCCTCAGAGAAGGAAGGTAGATAGCTCTTGTCTGGCCAGGAAGAATATATCACTTTTGATTCTACTGAAGAGAGGTAGTTAGTTAAATTAGTAACACCAGCCTCAGAACCCTGATTGCAACCTGAACCTCGCCAGCGGAGTGGGAGCGGGTTTGACACCACGGAGACCCAGCATCGCACTCAGAGCCACGCACTGATCTGTGAACAGATCGACCATCGAAAGCCTGCCCAAGCTCCACCGTCAGACAGCCACGAGACGCCTCCGCCCAATCACTGACGGAAAGGCGCGTGCCCGCATGGAGATGCAGCATCCACGGCCAGCGAGGAGAGGAATCACCACGTGAGCTCCAGCCTTCGATCGAGTCTGTCCTGAGACGACCCCTCCTGAAGTCAGCCCCTGACTCCAACGTAAGCTGGTTCCATCAATTTGCAGTCAGGGCCCTGACGCCAATTTATTTAATAAGAGAACTTTTATAGGTACATCCAGCCATATAGTTATTCCAGTCCATGCTTAGGTTAATTCTCTAGAGGCTCTCCTAAGTGACTTCCCAAACCACACTGCCTCATACCATTTAGCTGTGAATCACTCTAACTTACTCAAGCTATTTTGTCTTTCATTTTCTGTTGTTTATCATTGAATGTAGTCCAAAAGTAGTTTGATATTTAGCTAATAAATTCCCTTTTCTGAAGCATCCTTGGTGCGAGTGTTTTTCTCTATCCGGGTTACCTCACACCCTCTCATAAGGTTCTAGCAATAATAATATTAAAATTGCAAACCCGTTACATCCTTAATACTGAATATAATATTAATAAGTCTTGTACAGGTACCTAGCTACTGGGAATACATTTAGGCACTATGGTGTGGAAATTTTAATGATGTCTTACATTCTGGCTTAAATTATATTAATGTGAATATATCTTTTATTTTTATGATATATGTTTATGCCTGTTTTTATTAATTGTTCTCTTAAGAAATTTTGTTTTCTTTAGGTCATTGTCAGAGAGAAACAAAGCAATGAATGTGACAGCAGATCAATTTAGAACCACGGACACTTACCAGGAAGCTTTTGCAAAAAACATTGTTATTGTCTCTCTTGCTCTAATCATTAATGGCATAAATGGAATGTTGGTGGTCATATTTGTCCGCAACCCTGTATTTCACAAAGACCCTAGATATATTTTATACATTAACCTTGTCATCAATGACATTCTCATGATTTGCATATCAGTTACTTTGTATGTTTTGACTTATGCATGGCCTTACGTGAACGTTTCTTTTTGTTTCCTGCTAATGGCAATAGGTTCAACTACTCATATGAACACTCCTGTGATTTTGGCTGGCATGGCAATAGAACGTTACATTGCTGTCTGTAAACCATTGCATCACTCTCAGATCTGCACACTGAATAGGACCTACATCCTCATTTGTGTGATATGGGGTATTGGAGCTATTCCTGCAGTAATTGATGTTATTATTGTCATTGCATTGCAACCCAGTTCTTATTTTAACTCTCTTACCTACTGCCAGCCAATTATTGTATACAACTCAAAGTATCATATGCAAAAGACCATTGGTGCACAGACCATTTACATGCCTATTGTGTGGATAACCCTGTTCTATACTTACTTCAGAGTTCTTTTTACAGCCAAAGTAGCCTCATCTGTCCATCATCAAAGTTCAGCTAAAAAGGCGCGCAATACAATCCTGTTACATGGTGGTCAGTTACTTCTCTGCATGTTGTCTTACGTAACCCCTGTATTGGATCTGATGCTTATTCCATTTTTCCCATCTCATCGAACTAAAATCACCTTCTTTAATTATCTGCTCACAAACATTGTGCCAAGACTCCTGAGTCCTCTGATTTATGGAGTTCGAGACCAGAAATTTGTGAGTCATATCAAACGCTATTTTTCTTGTGAACTGGTTATTGTAAAGGTTGCAGCTTAGTCTGTGTGACTGCTGGATTTGGATGGAAATGAAGTACTTAAACACATATTTACAGTGTGTTATATGTTTAAAGGCAGATTTTCATGAATCTCTCAGGAAAGCTTTTTTATATTTAAGAGATACTCAATCATCATAGCCACATGGCCATTCTTAAAGCATATTTCTTAATAATAACAGACTAATAGCTAAATATAATGTCTTTAAATCTAGGTCTAAATTATAGATCTAAATAATTTACAAATGGAAGTGTAGCAATTCAAAGTTTGCACAAATACATTGTATGTTTTTACTCTCCACAAGTGGGTGAGTGCATATGTGGTATTCACTAAGAGATCGATTCAGGCCTGTATCTGTGCCAAGGCACATTAAAGCTATTCTGGCAGTTCATGGTGGCCCAACACCTTACTTGACACTTTGTAGATTTTTTCCATAATTTGTCACCTGTCTATAATCTTCCATTTTACAAGACCAAAAGTAATGGGAGAGCTCGCTTCTTAGCTGACTGCTGGACAGCTCTGTCACTACATTATTAATTAACATGACACTAAAGACAAAAGAGAGTTGATTCTAGTAAGTTAAAATGTCACTGCTAGTGAAGCACACCATCATGTGACTAAATCTGCATTAATTATGTCAAAACAACTGTACAATCTGTTTAAAAGTGTGTCCTCTAAGAAGTAAAAATGTGCTGGTAAGTCCTGTGAAGTATCTGTTGTATTATATGCTTTATGTGTAATATTATATTCAGTATTACATGTTATAATATGTATGTGATCTGTGTGTGTTTTATGTGAGCTGTACCTGAGAGGACAATGGGAGGACATTGTGAACAGTTATTCCTAGCTGTCTATGTGTAGGTTAAGAACAGCTGTTGCTTCTTTATCTAATTTAGCAATGGTCCAGGCAACAATGTGCCTGAGCCAGCCTATATAAACATGGCCATTTTCTATGTTGAGCAGGTCAGCATGGTGTCTGTGAACTGTGCTCACAACAACAACAAAAAAAGATTAATGCTGTAGATGCAAGGCTGGCCTCCTAGTTCTGGTTCTTCTTAAGAAAGTGGGGTCCAAAAGTTCTACTCCTGGTAAAGTAATTTAATTGCTTATAATCCAAAGCTCTAAACCACAATATCTGTAAAATACAGTGTCACGTGCATGTATTGGTGCCAGACAGGGGAACTGGCTGATTTGCCTGGTCTGTTTATGATGTGATCAATGGTGTAATCTAGACTGAAGTAGTGTTTCTACTGTTACTGTGAGTCCTGTTTTTCATTTATAATAATATAAAAATTTCAGTTACAATTTTAACTGAATGTTTTATTCAATTATACAATTCAAACAATAAAATTAAGTCATGAACATGAGGGACCATGCAAGCACACACATCATCAAGTTCATGCAAGGCAACAGCAGAACATTTTATTTTCAAGGGAGAAGTGTTCTAATCAGTAGACTGCACCATAAGGCAAGGTTCACCAATCTTATATACAAAGGGCCAGTTTGGCTGCAGGTTTTCATTCCTACCAAGTAGGATCATATAACTAATCAGCTGACTGAAGATCAGCTTATTAAACAACTGGAATCAAGTGTAGCCCTTGTTTGATTACAATAAAATCCTGCAAAATATGAAAACCTTAAAGGATAAAATTAGTGACCCCTGCCTTAAGGCAAGATTTACCTGCACACCTGATTTAACTCATCTGTTATTTGCTAGATTTAGCAGGTGTGTTTGAGTAGAGAGAAGAGCCTTCATTGCAAAAAAAAGAAAGTCACAGGAATCAATATGCCAGAAAAATCTGGAAAAACTGCCCAATAATTAGCAGATTGGACGAGGTCAGCTTATGTTCCAATACCAAAGGAAGGAGACCAGAAAGAGTGTGCCAACTACCATACATACAATTTCTATTTTACTATATGGCAATAAAATCATGCTCAAAATTATCCAACGCCAACTACAGCCTTACACTGAATGAAAACTGCCAGACATGCAAGCAGGATTCAGGAATGGCAAAGGAACAAGAGATATCATTGCTAGTGTATGCTGAATAATTGAAAAGCCAAGGAATTCAAAAAGGAAGTCAATTTGTGCTTCACCGACTACTGAAAAGCCTTCATCTGTGTCGACTACAAAAATAAGGAATGTCCTCAGGAAAATGGGTATACCAGAGCATCTTATTTTAATGAGGAATCTCTGCACTGATCAGCAAACCACGGTCATTACAGAAAATGGATAAACAGACTGCTTCAACATCAGCAAGGGAGTTCGGCAAGGCTGCCCACTATCACTATACTTGTTCAACCTTTATGCTAAACATATAACAAAAAAAAAAAATGCACGACTGTAGGAAGAGAACTGAGGAGTCAAGATTTGTAGAGGAAACATCAGTAACCTTTCATATGCAAAAGAAACAGTAGCATTTGGTTCCCTGAGTGAATTTGTGAATGATAAAACAGTAACTAGCTGGAATATGCCAAAGGAGCATTTTTTTCTTGATGAATGGCATTGCAAATGGAGCTAAGCAGCGTTCGATCCCTTTCAGTGTTTGTGGGGCCAAATGCTACAAACATGCCTCTGTGAAAAGCATGGACTTATCACAACCCTAAGCCTTCTGTCATCATGCAGTCACAGTCACGCAGGAGTTATGGTGGTTGTGTTTGTGGTGGAGCTATGGCAGCTCTCTGAGAACTGTGAATTTGGAACAGTGTTAGGGGACATCTTGTGCAACAGGTTAATCTGTGGCATAAATGATGACAGCATGCAGCTTTAGGAGAAACCACACTGAATTTCAAAAAGGTGCTTGAGATTGTACAACCAATAAAGTCAGTGGCTACTAACACAAGAGACTTAAACACAGCTGGGTGAGTGGCATCGTTGGGCACTGTCCATTACATATCAAAAGGGAAGTCAGGAAAGTCCTCCAGCTGAATGTTACTATTACAGTGGACCACACTTTGCTAATGACTGTTGTTTTAAAGACTTTGTTTGTCACAAGTGCCAGAAAAAGGGTACATAACTAAAAATTGCAGAGGTGCTAAGAGTAGGAAGAGTGTTCCTATAATATACTCCACATTTGAGAGCCCCAGGCTAAAACCATCTGTGCAGTACTAGACGTTGATGGGAAAGAGTTAAACATGGGTGCCTCTGTTTCAGTGATTAATGAGAAAAGGTACAAGACACTGTGGCACCCTGGTGCAGCACCTGCAGCACCTGCAATTTCAGATGCTGACATCAAACTCAAAACTCACACTGGTGTAGTGCATTTGAATTCTTGGGGCCAAAGAGGTATGCATAGTTTACTAAAGCCAGAGGATTAAAGCAAATCTGTTGGTGGTGGCTGGGATAGGTCTAAGTTTGCTGAGCCATGATCTGCTTGAAAAATTGATATACTGGTCAGAGATTAAGCATGTGTCGGCTGTCGAAGATATTCTAGCAAAATACTCTGAAGTTTTTAAGAAAGAGCTGGCCAATCTCCGTGGCGTAACGATGAGACTGTGTAGATGCCCAGGCGCAACCTCACTTTTTTCAAATCACGCCCAGTGCCATATGATATAAACAAGGTGGAAGCAGAACTGGACATGCTCCAGACATTAGGTATCATTGAGCCAGTGGAGTTTTCCAACTGGGCAGCCCCAGCAGTACCAGTTCCAGAAACAGAATGGCTCAGTACAGATATGTGGGGACTATAATTTGACCATAAACCAGGCTTTAAAAGTAGACACACACCCTCTAACATGGGTAGTGATCTGTTTGCTATGCTGTTTGTTGGCAAAACTTTCACAAAGCTGGACATGAGTCATAATTACCAGCAGCTGCTGCTTGATAAGAATTCTAAACAGTATATAACCATTAACAAACACAAAGGCTTATTCAAAAGCAACTGCTTGGTGTTTGGGGTGGCTTCCAGTCTAGCAATTTTACAATGCAAAACAGATAATCTACTGAAGGATATTCCTGGGATTGCTTTCTATTTAGATGATGTTTTAGTCACAGGCAAAACCAAGGAGGAGTACCTACGAAATCTAGAACAAGTGTTGAAGAGGATGTTGGAGGCTGGGCCACATTTGAAGTGCAGTAATTGTGTTTTTCAAGCTCCTAATAAGACCTATCTGCAGGTGAAGAAGCTGCTGCATTCAACAAAACTGCTTGTGCACTTTGATCCAGGCAAGCAAAGGCATCATCCTTTCTTATGCATTCTTTCTCACTGTATGGAAAAGCCTATTGGATATGTGTTCTTTGGGAATCCAGAGTACTGGTTCCTCCCCCAGCACATGCTCCGGCAATGGAGGAGTTACATGAAGCTTACCTAGGAGCTTCAAGGATTAAAAGCCTTGCCAGGACATTTGGTTGGTGGCCTGGAATGGACCATGTCATAGAAGGGAAGGTAAAAGCATGTTTACAACCTCAAAGCAACCAGAAGTTGCCAGGACCAGCTCCACTACATCCTTAGAAGTAGTCAGGGCGTCCTTGGTCCAGGCTGCCCTTGGATTTTGCTGATCTATGGGGCACACTTTTTTGGTGCTAGTGGACTAAATGCAGATGCACCCATTGTGTCAAACATCACTGTCCCAAAGACCTTGAAAGTGCTTAGCTACACATTTTACCAGTTGTTGTGGTCACTGATAATGGGCCCACATTTACCAGTGAGGTGTTCAGGAGTTCATGTAGAAAAATGGGATCTGTCGTGCACACAGTGCCCTATCACCCTGCTTCAAATGACTTGGCAGAACGAGCAGTTGCAACCTTGAAAGAGGGACTAAAGAAAATGTCACATCTCTCTCTCACTCAATCAAGCTCTAACGTTTCTTTTTCCAGTATTGAATCACTCTGCATATAAAAACAGGGCTTTCCCTGGAATAAATGTTAATAGGGAGAAGCCAAAGTCTCACCTGGACCTTCTCCATCCAGGTGTGAGGGCAACGTTTGGACTGGACAGGAGAACCAGAAGGAGGGGCAGGGCTAATATGCTAAAGAGAGGAGACCTGGTTTGAGCCAAAACCTCGCTCTCTGGGGTTATTCACAGTCAATCTAGTCCAGTGTCATCTGATGGGGAGCATGTACACAGACATGAAGTTCATTTGCAGGCCTGCTCTGAAACAGAAGAACACAGTAAGCAGTGCTAAGGGCGGTGATGTAAGGCAAGGATCATTGGAGAGCACAGAAATGGCTGCACCAGCTATGTCTGCTCCATCTATACCTTAAACACAGAATGTCAGCCTCCTCTGGGATGATGTCACCATATTCACAGTGCGGTAGGCTCAGCTGATAAACTAAGAATGATCAAGAGGCAACACAAGCCTTCTGTTAGACTGACTTTGTGACTGAGCTAATGGAAAAAAAGAATGAAAGCAAAACAAAAACAACAAAAAAAAAATGATAAAAAAACACATTCTTGTGGTGAAAAAAGCTTAAAAACATAGTGTTGTTAATTAAATTTGCATTGTTCAAAATTGATTTAACTTGTTTTTGAAATTTGCTATTTTCTATAATGCATAGGTTAGAATAGCCATTGATAAATTACCTATAATGATTCTTTTATGGGTAAAACTTGGGGGGAAAAGGGGAAAAAGGGAAGAAGTGTTGAAAAGTGTAATTGTTACATATTTCCTTGTTAATATGGTTTCACTCAGAACTTTTGTTAGAGAGTTGTAGAACTATTGTTCTTAGGGAGATTTTCCTTGCCACTGTTGCCACTGGTTTGCTCATGGGGCTTGGACCTGGATTTTTCTGTAAAGCTGCTTTGTGACAACACTTGTTGTAAAAAGTGCTATATAAATAAACTTTGCTTGCTATGCTGGAAGCTGATTAAAAATAAGACATTCACAGTGGAGTAAAACCTGTTGCCTTATGTTTCAGTATGAAACTTTCTTGGTACTCTTGAGACGAGGATTATTGTGTTGAATGTCATGTTGTTGTTATCCTCTAGGTTTGACTGCTTTTGTCATTACCACAAGGGAAAAGCAAGCTACCATAACAGAGCCTATAACAGTATAAAGCAGCAGCTTAACATCTGCTGGAGTCTTTACTAGAGGCAACATCCAATGTTTCTATCCTTTCTTTACTATTAATACAGTTCTTTCTAAAAAGAAGTATCCTCTGTGAATATTTAACAGAAATTACTCAGCAAATATTTTGCGTATTTCTCTTTGACTAAACAGGTTAATAAGAGAATTCATCCAAAGCTTGCTGCAGTGAGGATGAACTCAAGCCAGAATCCTTTTGAAGAGGCTTTTATGAAAAACTTAATTGTAGTTGGGTTGGGTGGCATCATAACCTACATTGATGGAATCTTTGTGATTGCCTTTTTTAAAAATCCAGTTTTCTACACCGACACAAGATACATTCTGTACATTCACCTCGTCATCAATGACATAATTATGCTCTTCCTTTCAGTTACTCTGCATGTCCTCGTTTATGCTGTACCTCTTTTGAATGTCACAGTCTGCAGTTTTCTGCTTCTGTTCGCCACAACAACTAAAGAAAACACTCCACTGAATCTAGCTGGAATGGCCTTGGAACGCTACATTGCCATCTGCAAACCGCTGCATCACCCTCAGCTTTGCACAGTGAAAAGGACCTACATCTTCATAGGCCTGATGTGGCTTCAGTCTTCTATTCCTGCACTAACTGATATCATTATTGTTTTGGTGAATGAACCCATCAGTATTTTTTCAACATCCATTACTTGCTATTCTAAGAGTCTTTTTAACACAAATCAGCACCTCATCAGAACAATCTCTGTAGAGTCTCTTTATTTATCATGTGTGTGGATGACGCTGTTCTTTACTTACTTCGGGGTTCTTCAGGCAGCTAAAGCTATAACCTCTGATCAGGTTTCTGCCAGAAAAGCCCAGAACACTATTTTGCTCCATGGCCTGCAGCTCCTTCTCTGTATGCTTGGCTATATTACTCCAATTATAAACTACTTTTTCTTAGCACTGTTCCCAAACTATAGAAGCACAGTTTTGTTCAGTACCTATTTAATGGCTAACGTTATTCCAAGGCTACTCAGTCCTCTAATATATGGATTCCGAGATCAAAAAATGTTCAGATATGTCAAAATGTATTTAACGTGCAGTCTGTTCCTCACAAAGATTGAACCAAATGAAGTTGAGTCCTAGAGTTCAGTCTTTACAAGGCTAAGCCAAAGAAAATCGATTTTTTATTTCACGATTTTGTGCCATGTAATCAGACCTCTGAGTGTATGTTATAGATGATGTATCTCAGTGAAGAGGCAAGCTAGGACAGTTTGCACCTTGAGGCCCATTGCTGGAAGAGAAAAAAACTTATCCTAGACTGTTACACTGCGATGTACACTCTGACACAGTTTGAACTAAATCTAGCCTAGCCAAAACACTGGACTACATTGTTTATTTAAAGCTATAACATGCAAGTTGAGTTTGTACTAATACATGTCTGATGGCACTGCACTTGTTTTTCATGACCTCTATTCAGGAAACAGTAGAGTACTGCTGATCAAGGATTTACTACAGTTAGTAAAATCATAGGAAATAAGAGAGGAATCTGATCCTTTATCAGCACTCTTATTCTGGGAAGCTTTGTACACATGAGCACAAGTTTTATGTTCCAGCATGATGCTTTATTTTGCTCTAATTGCGGAAAAGCAGAAGGGAACCTTCACAGGAGAGGAGGCTTAAAGGTTTCTGTGAAAAAAAAAGTCTAGGGTTAGGATTAGGGTAATTTTTGTTCACTTTGGTTTAATAGAATCATCATGCTCGTTGTATGTATACACTGTAAGTATTGTAGTACTTATTAGTAGTTGTAGTATTTCTTTAATTGTAAAGTTTTAGTTCAAAAAACAAAAGGATTAAATTGTTGAAATGCCTGATGGAAAATTCCCCAATTTTTTTCCTCCATGGTATCTTGGAGATACAGCCAGGCTACCTCTCCCATTGGGAGCTGGATTGAAGGGCTACCCTGTCAGATTGTTTAGTGTTTAGAGTTTAGTTTTTACAAGTCAAAGAATATTGAAATTTGATTTCATGATTTCTGACTATTTAATCAGAGCTGTAAGTGTATGTTATAGATGATGTATCTCAGTGGGGAGGCCAACCATGAAAATTTGCACCTTAACAAAGTGTTGGTATGAATGATGCACATGTGATGTCTACCTACTGCAAGTTAAACCATATTCAATATATTCTAAAATATGGCACTAGATTAAAGGCACATTGCTGGAAGAGAATAAATATATCCTAGACTGATACACTGTGATGTACACTCTGTAACACAGTTGTGTTACATGTGTGTAACTAATTATTTCAGCTTAATGTATAATATCTGTCTTTCATGTGACTCCACATGTTTTGCATTTGCTTTTTAGGAATGCACACTATCAGCAAGTTTTAACAATATCCTGCCAGGAGTGACAGTAGGAATATTTGGCCTATTGAAAATTTCATGCATGGGCCCCTCACCTCACCTCATTTCCCTTAGCAGAACCTACCACAACCTGTGTATGACACATACCAAAATATTCACATGCCTACTTTCTATTTTGTAAAAGCTACAAAATACCCATATTGTCCTTACTAGCATACAGCAGGCTGTGTACTTGAATATAAAGAACATGACTGCATATCAATATACCATATTCAACTGACTGAAATTGTAATGTTTATTGCCTCTGAAAATGCTATAAAAATTCTATAAAAAATGATTTGACTAAAATAGAACAACAGAAGATACGTAATTCAAAGCCAACTAAGATATCCACAAATATAGTCCTTTATCCACCTATAGATCCTGAAATTCAGTTGTAAAATAATGGAGATATTCTGAACCACAGAGTGAAGTTGTATGGCTTGAGGTGACCTCCCCAGCTATTCGCACTGTTATTCACAGGCCTTTTCTGCCATGTTCAATAAAAGAGCATTTTCCTTGAGCAAAAAATGGCGTACTCTGGTTCTTCTTCTGATCCAACACCACAATACACTGGAGATGGTAATAGAAGGGAGGCTCAGCTAGTTGGAGCTGCTAGTTGAAGAGTGTGACCAGCTAGTTGGGGTCTGTGACTGGCTGGACTGTGCTGATCCCTCCTCAGAGTGACAGCCTCGTGGAGCTTTTTAATCAAATGCCCCCTACTCAGCTCACCATCATCGCTGACCAGCACTGGTGCAGTTGGGACTGACATCTACCCCGTTCCTGCTGGCATGTCCCTCAGTCGTGCAGAAGTCAACCAGGTTCACACCTGCTCATGTTATGTTTGGCCGCGCGCTCAGGACACCCACAAGGCTGGTCTTTGTTCACCCGCCGAAGTCGGAGAAGGACAGCATACCTGTAGCCCAACAACTTAGTTCATATCTACATAAGAACCACATATATGAAAAATTCCAATCTGGATTCAGGCCACATCACAGCACTGAGACAGCTCTAGTTAAGATAACAAATGATCTTCTTCTTGCCTCTGATCAAGGCTACGTATCCCTGTTGGTACTACTTGATCTCAGCGCAGCTTTCGATACGATAGACCACAATATTCTCCTAGAAAGGTTAGAAAACATGGTTGGAATCACAGGGACAGCCCTATCGTGGTTCAAATCTTACTTAACGGTACGTTATCAGTTCGTAAAGGTAAATGATTCATCTTCCAATTATTCAAAAGTAAGATTTGTAATTCCGCAAGGCTCTATTTTAGGACCATTATTATTTACATTATACATGTTACCGTTAGGCACAGTTATAAGTAGCCATGGCATTAACTTTCACTGTTACGCAGACGATACACAATTGTACATATCAGCCAAGCATGATGACAAATACAGGTTAAAGAAAATAGAGGACTGTGTAAAAGACATGAAAGGCTGGATGTTACGTAACTTCCTCCTTCTAAACAGTAACAAAACAGAGGTTCTCCTTCTGGGTCCAAAAGTGGCAAGAAATAAATTACCAGATTTAATTTTAAATCTTGCTGACTTTCCAGTTATACCTGGTTCAGCAGCAAAAAATCTTGGCATCATAATTGATCCAGATTTATCATTTGATCAACACATAGGCAGTATCACTAGGACAGCTTTTTTACATCTTCGCAACATCGCCAAAATAAGAAATGCCTTATCGCTGCACGATGCAGAAACATTAGTACATGCCTTTATTACTTCAAGGCTAGACTACTGTAATGCACTACTGTCAGGATGCACCAGCAAGAATTTAAGTAAACTTCAACTAGTTCAAAATGCTGCAGCCAGGGTCCTCACTAAAACTAGAAAATTTGATCATATCAGTCCAGTTCTATCATCACTCCATTGGCTGCCTGTTAAATTCCGTATTGATTACAAAGTTCTTTTATTGGCGTATAAAGCCCTACATGGGCTCGCTCCTGAGTACCTCCAAGACCTTATTTCCCATTATGAGCCACCACGATTACTCAGATCACAGAGTGCTGGCTTTTTAATAGTTCCCAAAATTCAGAAGGTTTCAGCTGGGGGAAAAGCCTTTTCTTATAAAGCCCCCAAACTCTGGAATGATCTTCCAGAAAATGTTCGGGATTCAGACTCAGTCGCAATCTTCAAATCTAGGCTGCAAACTCACTTGTTTAGTTTAGCTTTTGGTAGTTAATGTTCCCCCTTAGATAAAGGCAGCAGATCCAGGGGTCCATGGACGCAGGGAATTATAGTAAACTGAGACGCTGGTGCTGTCGTCCCGCCGCTCACACGCGAACACTCAGGTTTGTGGAAGGTGGAGCGGAGGGATGCCAGATTGTTTCAGGGTGCTCCCGTGTCTGTGTGTCCTTTTGGTTCTCTCCTTTTAGTTAAGCTGTTATAGTCAGATTTGCCGGAGTCATTAGCCACACTCTGGAAATGTTCACATTCTCTGTTTTACATACACTCAAACAGAACAAAACTAATTCCATCTCCCTACCTTTTTCCGAGTAAACGACTCCCCACCTGCCAGACGGACACTGATGGATGATTGTCTGCGGAGCTCTCCTGCTACCCGCTTCAGACCAGTTGCCCACGCCCCAGTCGCCGCCACTTGCCCAGCTACCGCCACTTGACTTGGACTAGCTGCCCACTCCCACTCTACACTGAAGTTTTCATGGACTCCTAACTACTACTACTACTACTGCTATTACTATTATTACTACTACTACTACTACTACTAGTACTATTAATATTAGTAGTATAATAATTTTGTAGGTAGTTTGACCAGAGGAGGATGGGTCCCCCCATGTGAGCCTTGGTTCCTCCCAAGGTTTCTTCCTCAGCTCTGAGGGAGTTTTTCCTTGCTACTGTTGCCCCTGGCTTGCTCACTTGGAGGATTTACATTTCATGTTAAAACTTTGTCTTTAATTGATTTCTGTGAAGCTGCTTTGTGACAACATCAGTTGTAAAAAGCGCTATACAAATAAATTTGACTTGACTTGACTTGACTTGACCTGTAGCAGGGTATGCCAAGGGGCTCCACTACTGTCTCCAAGTCATGCATCAACTCACTAGGAACAAGGGCACAGGCACCTGGGGCATGGGTGTGACTGTACAACCCGTGCCACAGGAAGGGAAACTCCAGTCACCATAGGAAGGCCTGTGCATGGTAAAAGAGCGCCTGACAAGGTGGTGTATCGGGTTTGGGCGGGCGATGGATTGTTGTGATGCACAGAGACAGATTTGGCCCATACCAGCCCCACAAACAAGAGACCCCACCAGCCCAGGAAGTGCTGTCACACCAGAGACACAGTCCTGAGGGAGTTGGGGGTACCCATGGAGCAAATGCTCTGCAGCACTTGTGTCTGCCAGGATAATAGACATTCTGAAACCCACACCTCACACACTTGGTTCAGGTCAAGTCAAGTCAAGGCTTTTATTGTCATACCATCTATGTACAAGTACACAGTGAAGTGAAATTACATTCCTCCAGGGACAAGGTGCAACAAGGAACAAAAGTACAAAAGTACAAAATTACAAGTGCGAACGTGCAGACAGTGCAGACAGTGTGCAAACAAAAATTACTTAAACAATACAATAAATACGATAATTAAACAGACATTAGACAAAGTAAACAGACAGGACAATGTAGCACCGACACAGCACAGATTTCTGGACATGAAGTGCAGACATATTTAACATGCTGTGATCTGTAAGTTACGTCAGATAACATACAT